GAACAGTAATTTGTGGGCTGGTCGGAAAAACCAGACCAGCTAACGGCGCCTACGCCGTGCGCGTGTGCCTGATTGGAAACTTTGTTTCTACTTCCTCCCTGCCTAATAACTGTCGTCGTTGTCTTCGTGTCACAAGTTTGACTGAATTTTTACTGAATTTTTAGAAAATACATATATCCCTAAATAAATTTATTAAAAAATTGAATTCAAATATCTTTCATACATATACAGGACAGAGGGAATACGTGGTTGTCTCACAATGCCCGCTGCGGCCGGGCCGGGATACGAGAAAGTTAACTGTGCCCTTAGAGCATGTGTCGTTACGCGTGTCGTTGGATTCGTATTTAGGCTGTGTTTAGTTGTAGGAATTTGGATTTTGGGCTACTGTAGCACGTTCGTTTTTATTTGGCAAATAGTGTTCAAACATGGACTAATTAGGCTCAAAACGTTCGTCTCGCAATTTCCCACCAAACTGTGCAATTAGTTTTTCTTTTCGTCTACATTTAATGCTCCATGCACGGGCCGCAAACATTTGATGTGACAGGTACTGTAGCAAATTTTTGGAAGTTGAGGTGGAACTAAACAAGGGCTAAGATATATGCACGCACACTTCTCAATGCGAATTCTCAATGCGAATCCGTGATGCTGTTCGACTGATGGTTTCTGTGGCTTATGCTAATGCTAATTTATTACGAGAGAAAAACACGTTTTCATGACTAAAAAGTAATTTTGATTCTGACTGTAAGTGAACAGGGCGTGCAAGAGTGGATGTGCCGAGAGCAAATGCCCTTAAAAAAAACGCCTTCTGTCTTTTAACTGGAGATCACCGAGAATCTCCTTCCAGTTCTCCTCAAATGGCAGACGTCGGTTGCAGTCACAGGGAAGCGACAAACGCATGCGCCGGATCCTGATGCTGTTCCGTGGTGACGTGGTCTGGGTTCCGCTTAGCAAGCGGTTTTAGCCTGCCATGGAACTGCTCCAACTGCATTTCAGTTTTGATTTTTACATTGTATAAATGACATGATGTCAGTAGCATAAACAACTTTGACCGGCCTTTTTCCGCTCCCAAAATCATGGGTGTACAGCTGTAGGGTACAAGTAAATAAAATCTAAAATGCGTGTGTTCTTGCTGCAGAGCTTCTGCATATTCCTTCGGGCTCCAAAGACTAGCCCTGGGCATTCGGTACTACCGAACCGAATCATCGGTTCTTCGATTCTCATGAAAGTCGGTACCGATCGGTTCTTTCAAAAAATCGATACCGACAAAGTTCGGCTTTGGTTAGTTCGGTTCGGTTCCGGTTTCGAACCGAACAACTCCGGCTTCCAAAAAATCAGCGACTCGGGAGGGCGCGCCGGACTCTGGGCGGGGATGCGACGCCGAGGGAGGTTGGCCGTCGCAGGGGGCGCCGGGACTCCGGGTCTCCGGGAGTTCGGTTCCTCGGGTAGTTCGGTTAACCGAGGGGAGGAATCGAATTAACCGAACAAATTTCGGTTCTTAGGAAATGGGAACCGAACAGGGAACCGAGATGTCGGTTCTCGGTAAATTCAGTTCGGTTCTCGGTTTTTTCGGTTCGGTTCTTAGTTCTCGGTAAAATTTGCCCAGGGCTACCAAAGACGCCGCCGTCTTCAGCCCCGACGGCAACAAGGGCTCCACTGCCGCTCCAGGTCAGCCTGCCACTCCTCGATTGCCTCCATGCGTCGCAGTTCATTCATTTGAGCGTGTAAGACTATATCCAATGACGTCACCCTTCTTCACCGACAAGACAAAAAGAGAACCCTTTCTACAGATGAGTCTCTAAGAGAGAGGATACTTATATTTGGGTCGTGCTTCTGCTGAAACCCAAAGTAGGTCTCGCATATAGGTATTCTGTTGGAGGCTGATACAGTACCATCCACGGCCTATTTTATGTTTGGGTCTTCATATGAATCATCCATCGGAGACAGTCTAATATTGTGAAATATTTCAGCACATGACTACTAAAAAAACTGAGTGCCCACTGCTTCACTGCACAGTAGAAAATGCAGGGGAAAGTTAAATGTGTCATTAAGGCATGTGCCCCTAAGCATTACGTCGTTGGATTGACATTGAGATATGTGCACGAACACTTCTGAATATGAATAAGTATTGAGATATGTGTGTGCACACTTTTTCAATACGAATCAATGATAAATACGCTGGGAGCCCGTGCCCTCAAGAGAAAAAAACCGTTTTTGACAATGCAGCACATATCAATGATTTTATTCGAGCGAACGAAGAAGACAATTCCGTCCAATTTAGCCGACCGAATTGCACTATTGGAGAACACTCGATTGAGACCTGAGCACTCCCTGGTTTCGCTTTGCAGCCAAGGACAACTCGACGGGCGACGACCGACTCCCGTCGCACTGCAGGCGACCAACAGAGGCGGGGTCTCCCCGGCGGCGACCGCCGGTGTTGCACTGACCGTGCTGCTCGCCGGCTACCTTCTGCTCGTGCCAGAGCTCGGCTACCTTCTGCTCGTGCCAGAGCCCGCTACATTCTAGACCTCTGTCAAGTGGCACCAAAAAATTACCAGGGTGTGATACTGTGATATATTGTTCTAGTACGTGACAGACATTTTGCTGGTGGTGTTGGTGTAGTTGTACACTTGTACTGTATTTCCTGTTAGGCTATGGTTACGGCATTGGCGTACGCGATGTGTAATGTACAAGTGCCTGCCCTCTGGTTGCTGATCCTTCTTGGCATTCTTTTCGGTGAACAGGTGATGTATTTGATCAGTCAAGTAACTTTCCTTCCTAGTTTGTCCAACCAACACGACTGATGATCACAGTAACGTTGATGTTGAATAGTCGATAGGTCAAAATAACACACCTGCAAAGACCCTCGTTAACCTGAATTCTAATTGATTGAATATCCATACAAGGAATTGAAGGAAGATGTGACGTTCCGCGGGACTTAGATCATCTCTAGTAATACTACCTAAAACACACCCATATTTCTCTGTTTAGGTAGCTACCAAATTTCATACTACCCATATTTCGTGGTTTACTTCAGCAACACTATCTAAAATAGACCCTCTAAATCCATCCTTGCAGAGAAAGACACGCGGGGCCGACCTGTCATTCTCTCTCATCTTCTTCTTCCCATTGACGACCGGAGCAGCCAGGCGGCGCTGGGGCGGGCTCACCAGAGCCGCGCCGAGGCAGGGCCGAGGAGCCTCGGCTGCCGCGTTGGGGGCTCACCAGGGTAGGCCACACCGGGGCTCGCTTGCCGAAGCCGCGCCGGGGAAGGGCCGAAGCTTCTCGAGGTGCACTGAGGACAAGACGGCGCTGGGGCTGCTGGAGGCGCTCCGGAGGATGGACGGCGCCGAGCTGTTGAAGGAGCACCGGGGTGGCGCCGTTGCCGGGGCCGGCCGCGTTAGGGAGGGTGAAGCCATGTCGGGCCGGGTCGGAGGGAAGAAGAGCGTCGATGCAGTCGAGAGAGAGAGAAAAAAGTAGGGAGAGTGGAGTAGGGGGCTAACAGAAGTAGGGGTGAAGGGGGAAAAGTAGGAGGCCAACAGAATTGGGTGTGTAGTAGGGAGTTTTAGGGTTTAGGAAGTTTGCTGGAGCTGGTTTTTTATCCCCACTATCCAAATCCTAAGTAGGGATCAAGGAGGGGGCATTGCTGGAATCTAGAGGTGCTTTTATTGCAAAGGCTGATACTCTAAAACTAGACGCTGTTTCAACCCTGGTATCACGCACGAGCAGCGAGTTCCGGTTGCGCACCACCTCGTGGTACATGGGGGCGGGGGGCGGGTGACTCGTGAAAGGGTGTGCACGCATACGGTGGTGTCGCGCTTGTGCTTGTGCACAAGGATGAGAAGGCCGTCACCCGTCGATGAAGCTGACGATCCTGTAGCGCCGGATGAAGGTGATGTCGCCGGTGTCGTCCAAGGAGAGGTGGGGCCTTTGCGCTTCCCGGCTTCCGTCCGGCTGTCACTGGAGCAAGAGGTGAAGAGCTTCTAGCCATACACCCCGCACTGATCAAGTTCAGGGAAATAGGTCCAGAAAATATCAACATCAGAAACTAACTTTGTTCTCTTCTGTCCCTCTCCGACTACTCTCCGGCGCGGACACCGCCATCTGATCGGAAACAATCCCGAGACGAAGATTCGTGTGAATGAATGACTTGCGGCTGGCGAGGTCGAAGCCGCCGTTGTGTCGTGGCGTGCAAGAGGACATGAAATCACGCCGCCGTGGAACAGTGTCAAGGAACGCCCTGAAGGAACCCGAGTAGACGCCACGCGATTTGAGCGGGCCAACGAGCCCTGTGCATTGGGCTCGCTTGTTTGGATTAGAAGCCCGAAGGTTTCATGAAATGTTTGACTTGCAAGGCTTTTCAATTCATTTTTTGAAAAAGCTCTCGTGTAGTGTTGTTAAAACAGTTTAGCAGTGATACAAGGAAAACCAAAATTTGTCCGCAAGGTTTTCATTTGTTTGCCACGCAAGTTCACAAGGCTACATGCCGGTGCCAAATTTGAGGAAAACAAAACAGTTAAGATAAACACACATTCGATCAATGCCGGTGCCAAAACTAGAGGAAAACCAAAAAGTTCAACAAACACATTCGATCAATGCCGGTGAAAATATTTGAGAAAAACCAAAAACCGTTGCTTTTCCCAAAACCAATCAGAGAGATCATACATATAAAAACATGGTCAGGGAGAAAAATCATACAGATAAATCGATCCAACCAACATCAACTATGACAAAACCACATAGACGACCATACCACAGAACAAAACCTTGAGATTCAGCTAGTATTCAATGCATGCAGAGATTGAGCTAATATACCAAAGCATAACCATGTCTCAGCATAACAAGTGCACTTTCGACCAGGATCATTAAACAAAACTGCAATCTTATCACCAGGCTTACTACTCTCAAGGCAGGTGTTCTAAGGGTCACACCAAGTTCAACAAACATAGCAGAAATTCGATGACATCCAAGACCATACAAGAACCACCAAGCCCGCCAGGGCTTCAGCGCAGCCTCCTGGCCTCCCTCTCAGACTCAAGAAGGGTGAGGATGTCACCCTCACGAACCGGGCCCTTGACATTCCTCATGATGAGACGGTTCTGGTCATCCAAGAACTTCACTCTGACCTGGGTCACCTGACCCCTGGAGCCGGTCCTGCCCATCACCTTCACCACAACAGCAAGCTTCACCTGGGTGTCCATGCTGCACAGATAGAAAGCATTTGTCAGTTTTCAAGGTGAATCATATGCTTATAGTTCATTTAAACTGCAGATAGGTAAAGATAAACTGTCACATGATGGTAAAGATAAACTGTCACATGATTTGTTAAAATTGGAGTTTTGTGAACAGAAACTGACAAACAAATTAACAGCATTACATGTACAAAAGCAAAACATGAACACAACACGACCTATTTGGTATCCAGCATATTGTGTTTGCGGTATGCAAGTTTAGTTCACATAATGTGTCCTCTGAAAAATTCCAACATATTACTATCACCTTGGATTCAATAGGTTCTCAAAGAATGCTTGCTGCAGCACAATACCAAATTATCAATACTACCTTGCATTTGAGAGGTTCAAAAAGAATGGTTGCTCTGGCACAATTCCAAAAATGATCACTATGACCTTGCATTTGAGAGGTTCCGCGATTATGTTTCTTTTGCTAGGTTATCAAGCACAGTCAAGCATTATTGTCGAATCACTGAGCTAAGAAATAAGTGTTCTTCAAGATGCTTCTACCCAGCTTCACTGAAGGACCCTTCAAGATTGCACCACAAAGGAGGATCACAGCAAAAATCAAGAACCCCACACGACCACCAGATTCGTAGTTGCACAACATCCACCATACTAAACGAAGAAATCCTGTGCTACTATGCCCAAAACATCCATGTTTAAATCTACAACACTTTAAATTCATATTAATTTTTTTGAAACGATTCATATTATTCTAGAACAGCGCTTACAAATGTGTTCTTCATGATGTTTAAATAGTCTCTACGTAGGACATCAAAACCTAGGAGACCCTTCAAGGTTGCACAACAAAGTCTCTACGTATCACATCAATAAGGAAGACGCCCAAACAACACCACCAGATTCATAGTCACACAGCATCCAACATACACAATCAACAAAGCAGTCGTACTATGCTCATCCATCGCGTAATATCCGTGTTACCAGAACAAGCGCCTAAAACCAGGGGATTCGGAACGCTCATACATGAATCAAGGCTTGCAAACAGGAAACATGTACCATATAGCAATAAAGAAACGCGCGACGCACCATAAAACCTACAGCATAAAATCTACAGCTACGGCGCATCGCTGGGATGAATGGAGAGTCGAACCTCTCGCTTCTCGCGTGGACGGAGGCGGCGGCGGCGGCGGCGGCGGCGGCGGCGGCGCGAGGAGAACACTCGATGAGGAAGGAAACCCTAGGCCTGCGTTGGTTCGTTTTATAGCAGGAGAGGGTGGCAGTTGAGCCGATACCGCCGTGGACCCGCGCGTTGGGCTAGACCGCCCGCATGGTGGAGGTGTGTGGGCTCTCAAGAGTGGGCCGGGCCGAGCTGTGGAGCGTTGATGACGGCCCGTTGCAGCAAACGAAAGACTGGGCCGTGCGCCGGCAGAGGCCCACACGGACAGCGGCAACGGCTCCGCACACGAGCACAGCACTACACAAATGGCCGCTGTGATTAGTGAGAGGAAAAAGTTCACATTACCTCCTCAACTTTCATGAAAGTCCACTTTTCTTCCTTAAACTTCAAAACCAGCCAAAACATCTCCCTCAACTTTTAAAACCGTTCATCTTACCTCCCTGACCTGGTTATAAGCGGTTTTGAAGGCGGTTTTGTCTTTTTCTTTTTTATTTATTTCGGCTGAATCTTTGAAAAAATATAGGAAATCATAGAAAAATCATAAAATAAAAAATCTAATTTTGTTGGACTCCACATGAGTAGATCTACACAGTGAATATATAATATGGTATGCTTTAGTACAAAGTTTTTGTTGTAGTTTTAAATCTATGCTTTTCTGTAATTAAATGGAAAAAATTTATAGCTGCAGTTTCTATAGTCCAATTATGGTGAAATTTTTATGGTGGGCTAATTATTATATGCTTAAACTGTAGTAAAAATTTTATACTCATCGGATCATGTTTATTTAGGTTGATGCTTGTTAAATATAAATAAATCTATAACTAAGCTATACATCATCCAATGAGTATGAAATTTTTACTACAGTTCAATCATACAATAATTAGCCTATCATAAAAATTTCATCATAATTGGACCATAAAAACTGCAGCTATGAATTATTCTAATTAATTACAGAAAAAGCATAGATCTAAAACCACAGCAAAAACTTTATACTAAAGCATACCATATTATACGTTTACTGTGTAGATCTACTCATGTAGAGTCCAACAAAATTAGATTTTTCATCTCATGATTTTTCTATGATTTACTATGATTTTTTAAAGATCCAGCCGAAATAAATAAAAAAGAAAAAACAAAGCCGATTTCAAAACTGTTTATAAGAGGGCTAGGGAGGTAAGATGAATGGTTTTAGGCTTTGTTTAGTTTCTCCCCTAAAGTTTACTCCCTATTGAAAGCATCTAGGCTCTTAGTTGGGTTTCGATGATTAATGACAATACATGATTACTGTGACTAACGTGTGTTTTACAGATGCAATTAAGTTAGCTCATGGTAATGACAACTGATTGGGCAACATGGTTGTCATGCCCCTACGATGTAAATCGTTTCGATTTTCAAATGATGGACGACAAGGTTAATGATGAACTATTTTAAGTGTCGTTTGGTGTTGAGCAGACACTTAGAGTAGCTTGTGACTTTGTTTTTCCTTTGGCCGTACTATTAAGGGAGGTATGAACAGGTAGTTTGACCTAGGTGAGTCTAGTGGATTAGGTATGATGCACACTTGTCAAATCTAGCACTAGGTAGCTCCTAAATAGCCCTTAGATCAATTGAAGCAAACTTCATTCACATATTATTTCAAATTGAAAGTGAATGGAGGGTCAAATATTGATCGGACGCTGGCGCAGAGTCCGGTCAGTTCATTTGATCAAGGTGAAGGCGTCTGGATACGACCGGACACTAAGAGGTGAGTGACCAGACGCTGGGCGCTAGAGTCCGGTCAACTCTAGTAAGGTCCTAGAGAGGGAGAATGCTGATCGGAGGCGTCCGATCAGTGCTGACCGGACGCTGGTCAGGTTCCGGCTACTGACCGGACGCTGAGCAGCAAAGTGCCCGGATGCTGGGTTCCAAAGTCCGGTCAACATCACTAAGGTTCCAGATGACAGTTTTCATGACCGGACGCGTCCGGTCAGTACTGACCGGACGCTGGCCAGTCTCCGGTCACAACTTAAACTGCTCAGTGGCGGGTGAACTGATCGGAGTGTCCGATCATCCCGCAGAGGCACATAACGGTTCGTTTTGAATGAGGGGTTATAAATACTTCCTCTATTCACTTAAGGGATCACTTTTGCTCATTCCAACAGCTGAGAAACACCCTTAAGGGTGCCAAGAAAAGCAAGGTCCTAGTGAGATGATTGAGATTTGAGAATCCAAGAGAAAGACCTCATTAGTGAAAGCAAGAGTAGCAAAGTGTGCATCCACCCTTCTCATTAGGTTATGTTCACCTCACTAGATGGACAAGAAAGAATCATATTTGGAGATAATTCAAAGGGCAAGTAATAGGATTGAGCAAAGTGGCATATCAAATGATCATTCAATCTCAAATGTGCTATATGTTGCTTCATTGAGTTTCAACTTGCTATCCGTTGGATAATTGTGTGATCTTGGCTTTCAATGCCTATTTACCGAGAAGAAAGTGGTAATATCCAAGAAAGATGATGATCAAGTGATATTCAAAGGATTTAGATACAACAATCTATATCTAGTGGACTTCACCTTTGAAAATACAATTTTGAGGACTTACCTATTCACCAAAACAACACTTGGGTGGTTATGGCATAGAAGACTTGCTCATGTTGGGATGAGCTCACTCAAGAAGCTAATGAAGAATGATTTGGTGAGAGAGTAGAAGGATGTGAAGTTTGAAAAGGACAAGCTTTGCAGTGTATGTTAAGCCGGCAAACAAGTTGCAAACACTTATCCTACAAAAACTTTCTTATCAATCATAAGAGTGCTAGAGCTCCTTCACATGGACTTATTTGGACCAACAACATACAAGAGTTTGGGAGGAAATCTTTATTGTCTTGTGATTATTGATGACGACTCAAGATACACATGGGTGTCCTTCCTTCATGACAAATCTAAAGTTGCATCATGCTTCAAGAAATTTGCTAAGATAGCACAAAATATGTTTAAAGTGAAGCTCAAGAAAATTAGAAGTGACAACGGTAAAGAATTCGACAACACAAACATTGAAACCTGTTGTGACGAAGTTGAAATCAAGCATGAGGTCTCCACAACATATATTCTTCAACAAAATGGTGTAGTTGAGTGAAAGAACCAGACATTGATCACACTAGCAAGAACAATGCTTGATGAGTACAACACTCCCGAAGCTCTATGGGCGGAAGCTATCAACACCGCATACTATGCATCCAACCGCCTATTCATTCAAAAGTTTTTTTGACAAGACACCTTATGAATTTCTCAATGGGAAGAAGCCGAACGTCTCCTTCTTTAGGGTGTTTAGTTGCAAATGCTACATCTACGAGAAGCGGCAACACCTAGGAAAGTTTTAAAGACGTTGTGATATTGGTTTTCTTGTTGGTTTCTCATCAAAGTCCAAAGCATATAGAGTATTTAATCATGCCACCGGCTTGGTTGAAGAAACATATGATGTGGAATTTGATAAATCTAACGGCTCCCAAGGAGCACATGGAAATCTTGATGATGTAGGTGATGAACTATTGAGGGAGACCATAAAGAATATTCGGGTTGGAGACATCAAGCCTAATGATGATGAAGATGATGTACAAGTGATCAATCCACCTTCTTCATCAAATATGCCACAAGATGGTGATAAATATGAGAGAGTAGAAAATGAAGACACTCATGTCTCCCATGAGCAAATAGTGACACAAGCACATGATGTTGGTGCTCCACAACCTTTCCCTCAAGTGGTTGATAGATGAAATTCACCTCTACTACAAGCTCATACGCAAGATCTCATTATAGGGAGTCCATCAAAGGAAGTAATGACTCGCTCTCAAAAGCTTAATTTGTTTATTGAACATCACTCTTTTGTCTCTTGCTTTGAGCCTACTAAGGTAGAAGAATCTCTTCAATATCTGGATTGGATAAACGCCATGCATGAAGAGTTGAACAATTTCACCCGCAATGAAGTTTGGACTCTTTGAAGAGCGACCACAAGGTGCAAAAGTCATTGGAACAAAGTGGGTGTTCCGCAACAAGCAAGATGATTAAGGCGTTGTTGTGTGGAAAAAGGCAAGACTAGTTACAAAAGGGTTCTCTCAAGTTGAAGGGTTGGATTTTGAAGAGACCTTTGCACCGGTTGCAAGACTTGAAGCCATTCGTACCCTCCTTGCATATGCATCACATCATGAAATGAAACTATATCAAATGGATGTTAAAAGTGCATTTTTAAATGGCTTTATTAACGAACTAGTCTATGTTGATTAACCTCCCGGGTTTGAAGACCCTAAATATCCTAATCATGTTTATAGGTTGTCCTAGGCGTTATATAGGCTTAAGCAAGCCCCAAGAGCTTGGTATGAGCGCCTTTAGGACTTCCTCATTGAGAAGGGCTTCACCATTATGAAGGTCGACACCACACTATTCACCAAGAAGCTTGATGGATATATCTTCATTTGTCAAGTGTATGTTGATGATATCATCTTTGGATCATCAAATGAAGATTCTTGCAAAGAGTTTGGTGAATTGATATCGAAGGAGTTCGAGATGTCAATGATTGGAGAGCTTATATTTTTTCTTGATTTTCAAGTCAAGCAAATAAGAGAAGGGATTTTCATCTCTCAAGAGAAATATACTAATGATCTTGTCAAGAGATTCAAAATGGATGAATGTAAGCCAATCAACACACCAATGCTAACTAATGGACATCTCGACCTAGATGAGGGAGGTAACATGGTTGATCAAACTCTCTACCGCTTTATGATTGGTAGCTTGTTATATTTAACTACATCTAGG